GGTAAATACGCTCTAAGTTGGTTGTATGTGGCACCATTGGATTATAAGAAGAGTCTGTCATCTGTGTGTTTTGGATGTCAAGTAGTTTTTGATAACCTTACTTTTATGTTATCGAAAAAGGTCATGTCACGTTTTGGTATATTCATTTTTTTCATCTTTAGAATTTAATCCGTTGTTAAAACGTTTCTTAATAGCAACAATATAAACTTTCATTTCTTATTTCCGTTGTTTAAATTACTGCCAACATATTCCTTCATCAGGTTATGGGCCCAGGCATGCTAGTAATTTAAATAAGAAGTGGGGTGTAAGATGGATCAGCATCAGCCTATTCCGCTTTTGAAGCTCGATGGTGATAATTGGGGAGTTTGGAAATTCCAGACATCTGTGATTTTAAGAAGCCGAGGTCTGTTTGACATAGTGACTGGAAACAATCTTAAGCCTGCTTCAGGTGCTACTGAAAGAGAGAAATGGCTGAAAGAAGATTGTAAAGCTCAGGAAATAATTGTGACAAGAGTTGAGACAGGACCAATGACCCACCTGCTCTCATGTGAAACTTCCTGTGAAATGTGGACAAAATTAAAATCAGTTTTTGATAAAGAATCTGTTGTGTCCGTTCACTTATTGCAACAGAAATTCTTTTCTTTAGAGTTTGCTGATCAGTCAGTGTCCACATATATTTTCCAGTTAGAGGAAATACAGAGTAAAATTAAACAAGCTGGTGAAGAGCTTTCTGAAACAATGCTTATGACCAAAATTTTGATGTCCCTACCTGTACGTTTTAAGCATTTTAGATCTGCATGGGAATCCGTTGCTAGCTCGGATCAAACTCTGAGCGGGTTAACATCTAGATTACTAATTGAGGAGGAAAGGTCGAAGTCAGAAGAAACTACTACTGCTTTAGCAACCTTTAGTAGAGCTGAAACTTCTCATGTTCCAAGTTTTAAAGCAAAGGAGTGCTCATTTTGTCATAAAAAAGGCCATACAGTAAATAAATGTTTTAAAAGACAAAGAAAAKAATGATCACAAAAGTGAATCCAGAAGGTGTTTTTACTGTAAAAAGCCAGGCCACATTATTGCTAATTGTCTGCAAAGGAAGCAGAAARGTGACAGAGGTGAAACATCCAATGTAAATGCTTTTATTGGAAGTGAATTTGACTCAAATGACTTAGCAGTGAATAATTGGTGTATGGACACAGGTGCTAGTGAACATATGTGCCATGACAGAAGTCTGTTCAGCGAACTTGTTCTCAGTGATTTATCTAGAAAAGTCAAGGTAGGCAATGGCAATTTATTAAATGTCTTAGGAGTAGGCACAGTGCATTTGTGGGCTGATACTGGTAATTGTTTGTTAGAAACCAGTTTATCAAATGTTCTCTATGTCCCAGAGTTGAAATGTAACTTATTCTCTGTAGGCTGTG